TAAATAATTCACCGAATAGACTAAATCGACTAGAGGGTGCTGTTGAACATTATACATTATATAAAGCACCTCCAACTTTATACAATTGAGTTATTTCGTCTACAAGTCTTGCCAACATTTCATATAAATTGTGGGTATTGGAGCACCATATTAGGTAAAAGATTAATCCATAATAGAATTGGGTATTGTTTCTAAGAATTATATATGGGGTAGGACTGTTATTATTTATTAAACCATGTTTTAACGATATCGTGTCTATGAGTTATTGTTTCTAATGACTGTTAGCACAGATCTGGAATACATTTTGTCTCTGTGGACAATTGACCCTAATCCAATTTTGTAATGGATTCCTTTAGATTTTTTTAGCCTGGAGGTAAATGTGCAAAAATATAATAATATAAAGAGGAGTAGTCTAATATAAACAAAAACGATTTATTAATTTTTTTTTTTAATTTGAATCTAATATCTGGGGGCAGCTTAAGACTGCAGCACAGAACCACACACGCTGGAGAGCTGTCGTCGATGGTCTATGTTCCAGGAGGGGCGACAGGCCAAAGTAAGTAAGTAAGTAAGTAATATGATACAAACTTGCTTTTTCTCATATTTTTGTATCCAATCTCAACTAAAATGCATGTGTGCAGTATTATAAACGTATGTTTTGGCGTTACCAAGACTCTTCCTAAATTCTTCCATTTTCATGGCGGGACATTAAAACATTTTTCAATTTAATGACAAGGAAGCATAAGTACAATGTATGTTTGAGAATATACAACTTTGAGTGTCAGTCATAGTCATAATCAAAGTATGAGATGGTATGCATTTATTATTTATTTTGATTTGTTCACTATGAACATTTAATACACCTATTTGAAGATATTCCTACATATAAACATTCATGCGTGTATTATGATGTATGTGACAAAAATATGATAATTAATACAATGATATTATATTTTAAATACAAGTCTGCCAGTTTGATTCAATCGCAAAATGAATCACCATGCATATGTATCATAACATATATAATGTATGTACCAAATTTGAACCAAAACTGACATAGCTTGTCTAAGATACAACATTTTCAATAAACAAGATGACTGCCAGTCGGCTATCTTTTATTCAATCGTGAAACAAATCGTCATGGACAAAAACTGACAATTTTGCTGGATAATGCATCCTAATCTTTTTGATTGCATCCCAAATGACTAGTATGTTTATTACTGGCTTTAAATATGTGTGGTAATAACACCATCCCATCTCCCGAATGTGTTGACTGATATGGAATGCAAAAGTTGCGTTTTTAAAACTGAAGTCAGCAAACACAATACATATTTACTTATAAACTTAAATATTTATTAACTCAAAGAGCAGTTACTCTTTGACCTTTAATTTCTGTCAGATTGATGCTTGGGGAGGTTCATATCTTGGCAATCTGTTCAGATTGTTTGTTCCTGTTAGAAACCAGTCTTTTTCAAACGAATAACTTATTCACCATCACCATGTTCTTCACCATCACCGTGGTCATCACCATGTTCTTCGTCATCACTCTGGACATCAGCTGTACCTCGTCCATCAGCATACAACTTTCTCTTGTCCTTTCACAGTCAGAAAACAGAAAATTAAAATCATAGTTATTGTGGCAATGTTTTCATTGTGCAGTGCATTTTTATTGTACAGACGAACAGTTGAAACATGGTCGAAGAATTTCTAGTGTCGTATGGTGACCCCTAACCATGGTCAACTGTGTTAATCAAAACAACCACCTGACTGTCGAACAAGGTGAAAATGGCTGATGGCTAGTAATTGGCAGACAAGCACTAATCCTCATACAAAGTTTCAAAACTGTTGCAATTCTAAAGGAATACCCACAATACATCATAATTAGATCCTTCTTCTCGACTCAACATTGGTTGTGCATAGTGCATGAAATTGTTTCAGGTCCTCGTCTAAAACCTGAGTGAGAGGCAATACAACAATTCAAAACAATATATCTGTCAAACCAAGAAGTAGCTTTCAATATTGGAATGACATGATGAAAAATGTTACAAGAGAAAGTAGAAGTAAAGTTGCAAGCTGCTTCAGTGGAGCCCAAACTTAGAGCCATCTGTTTCATAATTAATGAGGTCACATGATTACCATTTGGGTAGTTTATATTAACCTTATTTGGTGATCAAAGGTTCTTTTTCAGAATATACACAAAACATGTATAATAAGCCATGTGCTTATGCATATTAATGAGGTCCAATGATTATATATGACCATCTCATAAATTAGTCATCACCTTTAGTTCATTGCTTTCATTGTGACATTGATTGCATGTCCTAGGCTTTACAATGTTTCAGATATATCAATTGTTCATAC